TGATGTCTCGGATCGTGTTTTCGGGATCCTTAAGGGGGAGGGGGAGCAGCCCCAAGTCGTGGTCCACATAGGCACCAACGACATAGGTAGGAAAAGGGATGGGGACGTAAGGCAGAAATTCAAGGAGCTAGGGTGGAAGCTTAGAGCTAGAGCAAACAGAGTTGTTATCTCTGGTTTGTTACGTGCTAGCCACGTGCTAGCGAGGCGAGGAATAGGGAGAGAGAGCAGTTGAACACGTGGCTACAGGGATGGTGCAGGAGGGAGGGATTCAGATACCTGGATAATTGGGGCTCATTCTGGGGTAGGTGGGACCTCTACAAACGGGATGGTCTACACCTGAACCAGAGGGGTACCAATATCCTGGGGGGGAAATTTGCTAATGCTCTTCGGGAGGGTTTAAACTAATTCAACAGGGGGGTGGGAACCTGAATTGTAGCTCCAGTGTACAGGAGGTTGAGAGTAGTGAGGTCATAAATAAGGTTTCAAGGTCGCAGGAGTGTACCGGCAGGCAGGAAGGTGGTTTGAAGTGTGTCTACTTCAATGCCAGGAGCATCCGGAATAAGGTGGGTGAACTTGCAGCATGGGTTGGTACCTGGGACTTCGATGTTGTGGCCATTTCGGAGACATGGATAGAGCAGGGACAGGAATGGTTGTTGCAGGTTCCGGGGTTTAGATGTTTCAGTAAGATCAGGGAAGGTGGTAAAAGAGGGGGAGGTGTAGCATTGTTAGTCAAGGACAGTATTACGGTGGCAGAAAGGACGTTTGATGACAACTTGTCTACTGAGGTAGTATGGGCTGAGGTTAGAACCAGGAAAGGAGAGGTCACCCTGTTGGGAGTTTTCTATAGGCCTCCGAAAAGTTCCAGAGATGTAGAGGAAAAGATTGCAAAGATGATTCTGGATAGGAGCGAAAGTAACAGGGTAGTTGTTATGGGGGACTTTAACTTTCCAAATATTGACTGGAAACGCTATAGTTCGAGTACTTCAGATGGGTCAGTTTTTGTCCAATGTGTGCAGGAGGGTTTCCTGACACAGTATGTAGATAGGCCAACAAGAGGCGAGGCCACATTGGATTTGGTACTGGGTAATGAACCAGGCCAGGTATTAGATTTGGAGGTAGGAGAGCACTTTGGTGATAGTGACCACAATTCGGTTACGTTTACTTTAGCGATGGAAAGGGATCGGTATATAAAGCAGGGCAAGAGTTATAGCTGGGGGAAAGGCAATTATGAGGCGATGAGGCAAGATTTAGGATGCATAGGATGGAGAAGGAAACTGCAGGGGCTGGGCACAATTGAAATGTGGAGCTTGTTCAAGGAACAGCTACTGCGTGTCCTTGTGAAGTATGTACCTGTCAGGCAGGGAGGAAGTGGTCGAGCGAGGGAACCGTGGTTTACTAAAGAAGTTGAATTTCTTGTCGAGAGGAAGAAGGAGGCTTATGTAGAGATGAGGTGTGAAGGCTCAGTGAGGGCGCTTGAGAGTTACAAGTTAGCCAGGAAGGACCTAAAGAGAGAGCTAAGAAGAGCCAGGAGGGGACATGAGAAGTCTTTAGCAGGTAGGATCAAGGAAAACCCTAAAGCTTTCTATAGGTATGTCAGGAATAAAAGAATGACTAGAGTAAGATTGGGGCCGGTCAAGGACAATAGTGGGAAGTTGTGCGTGGAGTCTGAAGAGATAGGAGAGGTGCTAAATGAATATTTTTCGTCAGTATTCATGCAGGAAAAAGACAATGTAGTCGAGGAGAATACTGAGATACAGTCTATTAGACTAGACGGGATTGAGGTTCATAAGGAGGAGGTGTTAGCAATTCTGAAAGGTGTGAAAATAGATAAGTCCCCTGGGCCAGATGGGATTTATCCTAGGATTCTCTGGGAAGCTAGAGAGGAGATTGCAGAGCCTTTGGCTTTGATCTTTATGTCGTCATTGTCTTCAGGAATAGTGCCAGAAGACTGGAGACTAGCAAATGTTGTCCCCTTGTTCAAGAAGGGGAGTAGAGACAACCCTGGTAATTATAGACCAGTGAGCCTTACTTCGGTTGTGGGTAAAGTGTTGGAAAGGATTATAAGAGAGAGGATTTATAATCATCTAGAAAGGAATAATTTGATTCGGGATAGTCAACACGGTTTTGTGAAGGGTAGGTCGTGCCTCACAAACCTTATTGAGTTCTTCGAGAAGGTGACCAAACAGGTGGATGAGGGTAAAGCGGTTGATGTGGTGTATTTGGATTTCAGTAAAGCGTTTGATAAGGTTCCCCATGGTAGGCTATTGCAGAAAATACGGAGGCATGGGATTGAGGGTGATTTAGCGGTTTGGATCAGAAATTGGCTAGCTGTAAGAAGACAGAGGGTGGTGGTTGATGGGAAATGTTCATCCTGGAGTTCAGTTACTAGTGGTGTACCTCAAGGATCTGTTTTGGAGCCACTGCTGTTTGTCATTTTTATAAATGACCTGGATGAGGGCGTAGAAGGATGGGTTAGTAAATTTGCGGATGACACCAAAGTCGGTGGAGTTGTGGATAGTGCAGAAGGATGTTGTAGGTTACAGAGGGACATAGATAAGCTGCAGAGCTGGGCTGAGAGGTGGCAAATGGAGTTTAATGCGGAAAAGTGTGAGGTGATTCACTTTGGAAGGAGTAACAGGAATACAGAGTACTGGGCTAATGGTAAGATTCTTGGTAGTGTGGATGAGCAGAAAGATCTCGGTGTCCATGTGCATAGATCACTGAAAGTTGCCACCCAGGTTGATAGCGTTGTTAAGAAGGCGTACAGTATGTTAGGTTTTATTGGTAGAGGGATTGAGTTTCGGAGCCATGAGGTCATGTTGCAGCTGTACAAAACTCTGGTGCGGCCGCACTTGGAGTATTGCGTACAGTTCTGGTCACCGCATTATAGGAAGGATGTGGAAGCATTGGAAAGGGTGCAGAGGAGATTTACCAGGATGTTGCCTGGTATGGAGGGAAGGTCTTATGAGGAAAGGCTGAGGGTTTTGAGGCTGTTTTCGTTAGAGAGAAGAAGGTTAAGAGGTGACTTGATAGAGATGTACAAGTTGATCAGAGGATTAGATAGGGTGGACAGTGGGAGCCTTTTTCCTCGGATGGTGATGGCTAGCACGAGGGGACATAGCTTTAAATTGAGGGGTGATAGATATAGGACAGATGTCAGAGGTAGGCTCTTTACTCAGAGAGTAGTAAGGGCGTGGAATGCCCTGCTTGCAAAAATAGTAGACTCGCCCACTTTAAGGGCATTTAAATGGTCATTGGATAAACATATGGATGATAATGGAATAGTTTAGGTTAGATGGGCTTCAGGTTGGTTTCACAGGTCGGCACAACATCGAGGGCCGAAGGGCCTGTACTGCGCTGTAATGTTCTATGTTCTACATTTTTTTCTTAGATAAGGGGCCCAAAACTGTACACAGCATTTGAGCTACGTAATGACTGGTGCTTTATACAGTCTTAGCAGAAGCTCCTTACTTTTATACTCCATTCCTTCAAAAATAAAGGCAAACATTCAATTTGCCTTCCCTATTACCTGATGAACTTGGTTGCTAGCTTTTCATGATTAACAGATGAGGATGCCCAAATCCTTCTGTTCTCTGTAGTAGTAGTTCTCAATTTGAATAATATTCACATCCTCTATTCTTCCTGCCAAAAGTGCATGACCTCACATTTTCCCACATTGTAATCCAAAGGGCAAGTTTTGCCCACTCACTTAACCTGTCTACATATCTCTGCAGACTGTCATCCTCAACACTTGCCTTTCCACCTGTTGTGACACCCACAGGTATGGCCATAATACATTCACTTCCTCATCCAAATCATTTAGTTTGTCAATAATTGTGGCACCAACACTGATCCCTGCAGCACACCATTAGTTACAGGCAGCCATCCTGAAAATGTTTCCCTTATCCCAAATCTCTGTCTTCTATTAGTTAGCAAATCTTTTATCCATGCTAATATATTACCTCCAACACCATGGGCTCTTATTTTATTAAGCACCTAATATGTGGCACCTTGCAAAATGCTTTCTGAAGGTTCAAATATATTAAATCCACTTTTTTCCTTTATCTAGCCTGTTTGTTACCTCCTCAAGAACTCTAGTAAATTTGTCAGGCATAATTTCATGAAGGAGAGAGCCTCGAAGAGACTTGATTATATTGTATATTTATAAGTGCTCTATTACACTCTTTATAATGGACTCTAACATTTTCCCAATAACAGACATTAAACTAGCTTTTTGTCCATGTTTTTTTTGTCTCCTCCCCTTTCTAAATAAAAAAGTGTTACATTCGTTTCCATAAGATATCGTAGCAGAATTATGCCATTCGATTGTCGCTGATACTTTTCTCAATGCCATTCTCCTGCCTTCTCACTGTAACCTTTGATCCCTTACCAATCAAGGACCTATCTATTTCTGTCTTAAGTACACTAAATGACTTTGCCTCCACAGCCTTCTGCTGCAATGAATTCCATAGATTAACCACCCTCTAGCTGAAGAAATTCCTCCTCAAATCGCAATTCTAAAGGGTTATCCCTTCATTCGGAGGCTGTGCCCTTGGGTCCTAGTCTCTCTTACTAGAGAGAAGATCTTCTCCACATCTACTATATCCAGGCCTCTCAGTATTCTACAAGTTTCAAATTAGATGCCCCTTCATCCTTCTAAACCCCAGAGTCCTCAACCCCTCATCATATGACAAGCCCTTCATTCACGGGATCAATCTTATGAACCTCCTCTGGAAACCCTCCGAGGCCAGCAAATCTTTCTTTAGATATGGGGTCAAAATTGCATTTGGAATACTGGAAGCAGTCTGACCAGAGCCTTATACAGCCTCGGCAGTACATCCCTGCTCTGGTATTCTAGCTCTTGCAATTTTGAAGCATTCATCAGTAATTTATGAGATAATCATCAAGTTGGCACCACAAAAGCCATGACATGCACGCAATATTTTGAAATTGCTGCTGGCAATAATGAAACAAAGATGTCTAAGGGATGTTAGTTGTACCTTTAGCTTTAGCTGCCCCAGATGCACTCCTTGGTCTGTGCTGAACAGATGAGTTGCTGCTGCTATTCCATGTTTTCTTCATATGAGCCTGTGACAACCCTTCATCTCTATTTTGTGCTCTCTGTTTATTTGGCACACTATCAAAAGAGAGGCACAGTGGAGATAATTCCATATTCAGTTTCAGGTCTTTGACAGCACACTATAATAAAGGCAGCAATCCAGTACAATCAATGAAATACAGCTACTTTTAATATTCATTCATGAGATGTGGCCATCACTGGCTAGGCCAGCACTTACCACCCATCCCTACGTGCCCTGGGGACATTGCTGGTGAGCTGCCTTCTTGAGCCGCTGCAGTCCTTGGGCTATAGATAACTCTAGTGACTATATGGGTTAGCATGGAGGACTGCAAACTTGATCCGGTTTGCACTTAGCATTCAGTCAATATTTGCCTCAGGATAGACATAAAAGTGTGTAAAAAATATTTACAGTACAAAAAGAACCAGTCTTTTTGGCCAAATGAGCCAACTTTTAACTGTTACTCTAAACTATCTTGGACCCTTAGTTGTCTCTCTGATGACCCAAATTGGTTTACAATGACAAATGTAACATCAGTTAAAAATATGGGAATTTACTTTCAATGCAGAATGAAAGCCATGGTTGTCTAAACATTGGTCAAAAGAATAACATCAATTCAGCAAAGAACATCATCTCTACAAAAAACTTATAAGATCATTTTATTAGACCGCATTTAGGTATGTAAAGATCTTTTCTCATTTTAAAACAATGTTCATGGAATGAGAGCGCTGCTGACTAGGACAGTATTTATTGCCCATCTATAAATCGATATTTGTAGAATGACTTTTGTTTTAATCTTTACAGCTAGTGTGCTGTAGTCATTTAATTCTGTTTTCCAGTAGCATTCAAGTATGGTCTGACCAATGCAGCTTTATTGGCCGGTTCTTATGACGTAACACTTGATTCAAAGCATCTAAGATTCCTAAAACCATAACGCCATTAACTGCTACAATTTTCTTTACAGCAATAACTTCTTAAAACTATCTTCCAAGGTCACAACAATATCTTTAAGTGGGGGAAAGAGAAAAAAGAATGAAGTTTTAAAAGTACTAATTTACACTCAAAAAATACTGCTCACCTATTAGAAAGTGGTCTACCAGTTTTCATTGATGCAGGTGGAGGAGTCTTTGCAGCTTTGGTGACACTTGCTGACCTAACTACAAAGCAGTAAAATAAATCAAGTTATATTTAGATGTGGAGTTGCTCAAATTATCAAACTTATTTGTAGAACATAGATACCATGCTAGAAAGGAAGAAAGGATGTAACAAAAAAAAAAAAAAAACACCAGTTTTTAACTAGCAAACATTTTTACAAAGGCAGATGGAGAAATGTGTGGTACTTGTAGGAAGAAAGAATCTCACTGGTAAACCTGATGACTTATATCCCAACATGCTGCAAAGATTTCTAATCTCAACACTACCTAGTACTTTGGCTCCTGACCTTGTGAAAGGGAATGGAAATAAATAGTGGCCTTGGATTTTTTATGAGAACTGAAGTTAAGGAGAGGCGATGGCCTACTGGTATTATCACTGGACTGTTAATCCAGAGACCTGGGTTTGAATCCTGCCATAGCAGAGATGGTGGAATTTGAATTTAATAAAAATCTGGGATTAAGAGTCTAATGATGACCATGAATCCATTGCTAATTTTTGGAAAAACCCATCTGGTTCAACAATGTCCTTCAGGGAAGGAAATCTGTCATCCTTACCTAGTCTGCACTAAATATAACTCCAGACCACAGCAAAGTGGTTGACTCTTAACTGATCTCTGGGCAGTTTAGGAACTGGCAATAAATGCTGGTCTAGCCAGCAATGCCCATATCCCATGAATGAATTCAAAATTAGTAAATGCTCCAGCTCTCCATATTTTGACACAACACTCTTGAAGGAAGCAACTGGAGTGAAAGACTTTGTATGGGATTGGGGAGGAGGGTGCAGGAAGAAATAAAAAATAAAAGTAAAGCAGTGGACGGGGCATACCCTGCTCGTGTACTTTACAGTGGATGCAGCCGATACAGTTCAGAGCAGAATGGTTCACAACAGATGAGATTCTAATATCTTGAAGTCTAGCAACGCACTTGTGGAAAAGAAATAGGGAAGATAGACACAATAACTTATTGTACCAGGAACAAACCTGCAGACTTCTGGCCAACTGAGCTCTTTGCAGGCTCCTGTGCTGCAGTTTCAGTAGGACTATTGACGAATGCCATTTTCTTATCACGATAGTTTATTTCATCCATCTCATTCCCCTCTTGTAATCTAATGTATCCACTTGTACCTCCAGCACCATCCTTGCTCAAAAGTTCAGGCTTGTCAGAGTGATGCTTGTTCCCATTTCTCTCTGTCTGCGACAATTCTGATTGTGATTGAATGATTTTCTTTGACGATTTCCCTTGTTTTGCTTGAATGCTGGAAGAGCTGAGACATATTTTGGGTCGTCCACCTGCGTTTGGTTTGCCATTCTGTCCATTGATGTCTTTGTTGCTCGCTGTAGAACCTGTCTGACATGCCAGACTATCAGCACACACTTTCACCTTACTGACAGTGCTCTCAGCTTTCATCTTGGTTTCCAGTCTAGCTTTTGCAGGAGTGTTCATCTTTGTCACGGTACCTTTCTCATTGGCTTTTCCATTTTTTGGCATTTTGTCATTTGCTTTTTTTGCGTCCTTTCCTTTTGCTTCACTTTTCCTCAAAGCACCAGCTGACAGTCGTCCATTTGCTGCATGCACTGAACTTTCAGATTTCATTTTTGAAGCAGCAGTCAGTTGACTATTAGGTACAACTGTATTTATTGACTGCACTTTTCCCTTTCTACACACTTGCTCTACCACATCAAATGGAGAAGGGTCAAGTGGAGGACGTTTCTTTTGCTGTGAAGAGATGAAAATTTAAAGTATAGCTTGCCTTAAAAGTGTTACACTATCTGCGTATGTATTTTTCCAGAAGAGCACATTTTTATAAATTGAGTTTAGACATTTGGAATTACAGCTATTGTTCTAAACTAATCCTTTACATTTTAAATTACAAATGTACATGATATTTTAATCTCAGGACCAACTTAGAAATTGTACATTCAAACAATACAAAAAAAAAGCAGCTTTATTGATAAGTACAACATTAAGTGGACATCTTACCTGTGAGCTTGTCAAAGTTGGTCTTTTGCTGAGCTTTCTATCATCACCTTTGTCAAGAGCAGCTGAAAAGACAATACAAATTAACTATATACTAAACTGCTGAGAGCAAAACATGTCCAGTTCTGGCATCAATATCGTTGTCATTAGCAAACAAAACTCACCCTTTTGTTGCAAAACAATTTTAAGTAGAAACAGAACAAAACTGAGTGCAACAGTATACATCCAGTACTTTTTGGCATTTAAATAAAGATCCAGTATTTTTATTCTCACGTGTATGCTAGTTTGGCAGTGGTACAGAAAAATTCAGGCTTTAAGGTTTCTAAAGTTGATATAGATACTTTGACACATGGTCGAAAGCAGCAGTGATAGGTTAAGTATTACACAAAATATTTCCAACTGGATGCTTTTACTGGAGAGGAAAAAAAATTCTGAATACACAGGCAATATTTACAAATGCCTTGATGCCTGTACCACCAGGAAAGGGCAGGGGTGAAGAACAGAATGTGCTTTAGACTATTAACAACTGGAAATCTCTTCAGAAAGAGATTAGGGAACAATATACATATCCTAACATGTATACCCTCAGGAGGCTCTCAATCTGGACCACTTTGCCACCTTACTGATGAGAAAGCAGTGGATTATCGGCCATTGATTTCAGCAACAGAAGATTCGGTGCAAAGATAACATTTTAGAATACTACATATTTTATACATCACCTATATCTTATTTATATAGCCGTATTCTGGGAGAAACAGTTAACTTTTGACTTCTCTCCAAAGTGCTCCACCCTTTGGTTTTCCTTGTGGAGGCATCGATTATTATCACCAGAATACTAGTCTAGAGGCCTAGATAACGTTTTGGGAACCTGCGTTCAAATCTCACTGTGGCAGATGGTGAAGTTTGAGTTCAATAAAAATGATGACCATGAAATCACTGTTGATTGTCAGAAAAACCCATCTGGATCACGATTATCCTTTGACAAAGAAATCGCCAACCTCACCTGGTCTGACCTACTTGTAACTCCAGACCCACAGCAATGTGACTCTTTTCTTTCCCTTCACAGATGCTGCCAGACCTGCTGAGCTTTTCCAGCAACTTTGTTTTTGTTCCTGATTTACAGCATCTGCAGTTCTTTCAGTTTCTACTATCGCATACCTACCAGGATTTTCAAGGGAATGTAGATCTTTTGTTCCTTAGGAATTGCTTAATGGTAAAAGACCTATGTCCCTTTCAACTATGATTAGGGCTGCTAGATGGAGCATAAGGATCAAGTCCATTTATTTCTTTTTGTGCAAAAATACTGTCAAATTGATAAAATGCCAATAGGACCTTAATTTTTCAATCTTCAAAGCTACAGTTCTGGAATTCCAGGCTCTCCATCCAATACATGCAGGTCCACTTATCAATGAGCTCTTTTAATTAAAAAAAAAAAGGCACTAATCTTCAACAGGACCAGACCCTTGACTCCTTCCCCTACCACATTTATGGAAATCATTGTTACAATGTCACAGAAAACAGATGAAGTCGTCTGCAATGATTTGGTTAACGGTTAGGATGGAATATGGAATATCCATTTGATAGCATAGCTGAGATGCAAAAGACTTACTAAATGGATTCAGTCGGTAGATCAGCCTTTTAAGAGTTGGAAACAAATACAGAACACAAGAGAAATTCATGAAATTGTTTACTGGATTTATCTGAAGAATTTAATTTGGTAAGGTCAACACAGTGGGTTTGAACCATCTGAACACCCTGGATGATACTATTTAAATTAAATTTTCCTAGGGAGACAGGATTCTTACAGGGCTTACTGATCAGGAACAGGTTGTCACCTGCCTTCAATACAATTTGGATTAAGGTCAATTGTAAAACTATAATGGTGCATATATTATAATACAGCTGTTTTGTTGCTGATTGTTAATAGTATTTTATTTTATTTAGAAACATGACTGAAGTTGTCAATATTTTATATCATCTCTATTTTCTTATATCCTTCAAAGAAACAAATACAGAAAGTTACTGTAAGAAGTGATTTGCATCTTATTTTCAATTGATAAATTCTTGGTTGCCAGAACAATGTACCACATCTGGAAGCAGAAGACTCTCCAGCCAATATTTCTAGATTCTCAATATTGATCTAAAAAGGTTGAAGACCCACTGGGCAAATTCCTTGTTTCATCAGGTTTTTAACATAACCTGAAACACTCCACATACAAAAATGAGAGATTTGGAGACAAACCATTTCTGAAAATTCAACTGTAACGGATTTCCTTAAAGAGACAATTGAGAGAGGTCCCCAACTGGATGCAGACAGTTTACGACTTTATGGCTGGAGTTACTGATTCTCATTCACATGAGGTCATTCCTAGTCACAAGACTTACTTGGATTAAGGCTCTGCAGCCCACTTCACCACATTGTTTGCTCCTAATACCAGCTCTCACATTTTCCTCTTGAGCCAGGACCCTTTTCTGAGACAATCTATTCCACAAGTTGACTGCCCTTTGTGTAAAGCAATACTAAACTCTCAATCTTGTCTGTAGCAGTGCCTCCTACTCAGATATTCTTGAACGTATAGTTTCTGTTTACTCATTTACTTTCAAGATTGCTTCATAATTTCGCAAATCTCGAATTCTAGAGATAAACCTCATTGCTCTGCATTGCCTCATTGACTGAAGGGCCTGTTAGGTGGCAGTAAAAAATAAAATACTCCAGAAGCAAACCAGCCAAAAAAAAAACTACACAAATTCACCATCACGTCTAAGACTTTGGACACAACTAATCTGACGATAACGTAGATCTCCTAGATCTTGTAACACTCCCCTTGACAGTATGTATTCCACTTAAATATGCAGTACTTTGCAATTTTTCTTTTCCTCAAGCTCAAACAGCTAGCTATTATCAGTAATAAAAACAAAACGCTAGAGAAACTCAGCAATTCTGGCAGCATCAATGGAGAGAGAGTTAGCATTGAGTCCAATATGACTCGCTTTCTCAGAACACTACATTTTCTGTTTCACTTCAGCATTCTTAGTATTTTGCTTAGTTTGCTATTACCTGAATCTAGATTGTAGAGGAAGTTATTTCTATATACCAGGAAATGTTGTGGTAATTCTAGAGACCACTCAATACTTTCTTCAGCACAATCTAGCCATTTTATTTCCATTAGCATTCTCCCCTTTAGTAAATTAATAATTTAAATCACTTGAAGGAAGCCATTTAATTCACATTAGTTCAGGCGGCCAGAAAGACCTTGATGTCAAAGTAGTAACCAACTAGCTCTTTAATGGTTCTAGAGTTGTAGTCCATATTACTCTTTACAGGGACCCATTACATATGATAGTTAGCCTTCAGGTGAACACGTTTCTGATCAGTTCTTAATGTGCCTTTTATTACCGGGGGCCCAAGACTACTTAACCCAATCTTCCTATTAAATTTGAAATATTAAAGTGATGGTACCTTTATCAGTAAACCTTTAGGTGTCAAGGTACATTATGTTACATGATCCTCATCTGCCCTAGTTGATTTCCAATGTCACTCAACGAAAACATCAGGCAAAATTTTTTACATCTAATGTTGGGGATCATCATATCATTTTCTTTTCCCTTTTCTCTCAATTATGATGATTAAAAATCAGACTAAATTCAATGCTTAATTAAACTTTAGATGTCAGGTAGAGTTTGGTCACTTCAATTCTGTCAGGGCCTTCCTCAATATTAAGATCAGTGTTTGGTAGAATCTTTCTTGCACTAAAGGTTACCATTCAGCCAGTCATCTCTGTGCCAGCACTTGGAAAGAGCTATCAGTCCCATGCCTCTGTCTCTCCTCATAGTTCTGTACTATCAATCAAGAAGGGTTCAAAGGACAAGGTCAATTAATTATAGGCTGATTAGTCTGACTTTTGTGGTGGGTAAATTACTGCAACCAATATCAGAGATAGGATTAGCTGTTACTTGAAGATGGTAATTTTATGGAATTTAGAGACTGCAAGATTATGCATTTGGGGAGGGTAAACAAAGGAATAGAGTAGAATAGCAACTTATTATCATTTGTATTTATGAAATACAGTGAAATGTGTTCAAGTCACCATAATCTTTTGTTCCTCCACAGCTGCTGGGTAAAGGAAGGGAATACACATCAGACCAGAGATATTGAAAGGAAGAGTAAGTGGAAAGGTCCAGAGTTCCCTGACAGTGGGAGTACACATGGATATGTTGGCAAAAAGGCACATGCTTTCCTTCATGGGGTGAGGTATTGAATGCGAAAGCATGGATGTAATTCTTGAACTATACAAAATATTAGTCAGATCACAGCTGGAGTTTTGTGCATAGTTCAGGTCATACGTTACAGAATGACAGTTGCTCTAGAGTGTGTGTGAACAGAAGAAGTTTACAAGAATGTCAAGAGGGGCTCAAAAATTACAAGAGGAGGAAAGGTTGGATAGGCTATAGTTTTCCTTGCAGAGGAAGCTGAGGTGACAATTGAGGTGTACAAAATAATGAGGGATGACCTGTTTCCCAACACAGACAGCAATTACCAGGACACACAGATTGAAGATAACTGGTAGAAGGATTAGACAGGACAAGAGGAAAGATGTTTTAATGCAAAAAGGTGGTGGGTCTTTGGAGTTTGCTGCCTAGTCGGTGGTTGAAGCAGATACTCTCAACTTACTTAAAAAAAGGAGTCTGGATCTGCACCTGAAGTGCTGGAAACTGCAAGGTTATAACCCAGATGCTGCAAAATGGAATTTGAATGTTTGGCTAGTTTATCCAATCAGCACAGGACAATGAATTCAATGGCCTCATTCTGTGCTGTAATTTTTCAATGGTTTTCTATTTTCTTTCCTTTTAAATAATATACCCAATTCTCTTAAAATTCCTATATATTAGATTCCACCTTTCAAGGAACAGGTTCTGGATCACAACGCACTACATTAAAAACATTCTCACTTCCCTCTTGAACTCCATTCTTTTACCAATTATCCCAGAAACCCATGTACTACCAATGAAAACAGTCTCTCATTACTTAGTTTATGAGCTCCTTAATTATCTTGAACATAAAATTACTTGTCAACTTCTCTGCTGTAAGAATAATTCTACTTCTCTAGTGTTTCATAAATCTCCTCGGGGCAAACATTAGAAAACTATTACTCATGGGTTACTGTAACCTTGCAATTTTTGTAAAACATACATAGGACTATGCATCTTTCATAGTAGTACTGAACAATAGGGAAAAGCAAAACCCAATGGGGGGAAAAAAGGGGGGAAAAATATCGATGCCAACGTTGGTGGGGAGAAAGAACAAGCAAATACAACAGTTACTGCATTCCAGAAGTAATCTGTGCTTCTTGGAGTTAAGATTGAATAGGTAGCATGGTGGGTCAGCGGTTAGCACTGCAGCCTCACAGCACCAGGGATCCGGGTTCAATACCAGCCTCGGGCAACTGTCTGTCTGGAGTTTGCACATTCTCCGTGTCTGCTTGGGTTCCTTCTGGTGGCCTCCCACAGTCCAAAGATATGTAGATTAGGTGGATTGGCAATGGGAAATGCAGGGTTACCGGGATGGGGATGTTGGTGTGGACTGGTTGAGCTGAATGGCCTGTTTCTACACAGTATGGATAGTATAAATCTAAAATAAAAAATACACTTGAATTGTGTTCAAACCTATATTATCTTTTTGGGATCAAAAAGTGAAAACCACTGAAGCTTTTATGGTATCTGATGTAATTTGAACTCAGTTGTTCTACAGACTTGTCGCCTGCTTCAATTATTAATGCATTCCATTTCATGACAAGTACATTGTGACATGCAATTTCCTTATAAAACAAGGTGCCGTACAATAATCAAACATTCAGAGGATTTAATAAATGAGCTGCAATCCTATTTTAAAGTTTTAAAAACACTTACTCTGTGATTTGCTTCAAATTAATGCCAGCACTTTTGTCAACGCTTCAGTGAATAAAGACACTGACAAAAAGAAGTGGCCAATTCCACATTTTCTACACTGGTAAATTATCCTCAATTATAATTGTCACATTATTAATTACAGTGTCAAATCTGATTTTCAGTGATACTTTGGGCTGCTTCTAAATAATGGCCCATTAATTATTTTACAATGCACTCCTCCCAGGAATTATAGGTTGGCACTTTAAAATCAGAATTGATAGATTGGCTTTTGGGTAGTGGTGCAACATGCCAGAGTGCAAGAGTTTCCATATATTCAGCTCTTTCCTCTTCAATTTCACCATATGCCTACTTGTAACAATAGTGAAGCAGCAAATAGAGGGGAAAAGTAGAGGGTCAACAGAGGCATCTCGTGTACCACTCAGCAGGAACTGATGGAAGAGGCCTGGAAACAGGTCACTGGATATCGTTATCTGCAGGAGGAACTGCAGTCAGTATACAAAAGCATACAAAAAAAAGACCGTTGTCATGCTTAAATAAAAACCACATTATCTTATCCGATTGAACACAAAGCAGATGTTATATTTGTAAACATATCTATCAGTATTAAGTTCAAAAGTGCTACTTATTCTTCAACCATCTTACTGGAATAGTTGAAATATAACCGTTCTAAATTTTTGCTCCACTTTCACGCTGGCCACAAGAAGGTCTCCACATTTAAAGAGCAGAAATATTTGAGGGCACTGTGATTGATTCACAAGAGCAAGGTGGTTGACAATGTTAGCCATTCCTGGTCTGTAATAATCATAGTCATTAAAACAGGCAACGAAATCACTGACAAAAACCAAAATTGTTGGAGAAACTCGGGTGTCTGGCAGCATCTGTGGACAGAGAAACAGAGTTAACATTGAGTCCAGTAACACTATTTCTAACAAAACGTTAATGTTGTTTCTCTCTCTGCAGATGCTGTTATATTAGGAAAAAAAAGAGGTGAATGTGCTCCAAGCTGACATCTGAAAAAGGCTGATTTTTTAAAAAAGTAAAAATCAGATGGGAATGTGTGTAAACTTGGCTTTACCTGGACTGTAGCTAGACTGCAGAAAGGGTTTTTTCAAATTCATTCATGGGATGAAGGCATCACTCTATAGATCAGTATTTATTGCGCACCCCTAATTTACCCGAGTACAGTTAAGAGTCAACCACATTGCTGTGGGTCTGGAGTCACATGTAGGCCAAACCACTTAAGGATAGCATTTCCTTCCCTAAAGGGCATTGGTGAAGCTGATGGGTTTTTTCCGATAATCAACAATAGATTTGTAATCATCATTAACTCCAGATTTTTATTGAATGCAACTTCCACCATCTGCAGTGGCAGGATTCAAACCAGAACATGACTTGGGTCTCTGGATTAACATGTCCAGTGATAATACCACTAGGGTTACAACTGCATGATATCGATTTGAGGTGGTAGTCACAGAGTGTATAGACATGATTCTCGCAAATACACACAGTCAAGTTTGACAAAGGATTGCATTAACTGAAGCCATAGTTACATAAATCTATCTTGTTGCATGTTTAACTGTGAGACATGGTAGCACTGGTTTAATTATCCACAGCCTGAGTCAATGCTCTGAGGACACATGAGGTGGTGGAACTTAATTTTTAAAAAAATATACTCTCAGTAATGGTGACCACAAATCTGGTTCATTAATGCCCTTATCCCTGGCCTAGATATGACTCCAGACCCACAGCAATGACGTTGACCCTTAAATGCCCTCTAAAAATGGCCCAGCAAGTCTCCCAGTTCAAGGGAGCTTACCCTAACGTTTATCAATCGAAATTAAAAGATGGGATCTCGTGTCAGAACCTCGGGCTACACTTGCTCCCTAGTTTTACGCCCACAAATAAAAGTTTAATTCACGATTGCATAAACAGATTTAGCAACAAAGAACATTCACGAAGCGATTTAAAACAAAAACCCTCATCCTACATGTACTAGCGTCAATCGGAGCAAGATGTCTCGAATTGTTAAGTAACAATCTAGATTCTGAGGAAGACTGCAATTGACTGCAAATCACAACAGCGGTCTGCAAAATAAATCAAGAATCCTAATCTGAGGGGACAAGGTCATGGATGCGAAGCATCGCCTGCCTAAGGTTCTCCTAGTCTTTCTAATGGCATTTTTAAAAATGTAGCAAATCAGTTGCGAACGCTCTAAGTGAAACGGAATACAAAAAAATTAACAAAGTATAATTTTAAAAAAAACTACAAATCAAGAAATTACACTATTCCAGCTACACTTCAGTACGACTGCACCCCACTATCCTCCTCCCACATTTCTTGCAGAATTCTGAAAGGTGAAAAAAGATGACTGATGTTTAAAAATGAATACGTCAACCTCATCTTAAGAAAACTGGCCAGCTCCTGGTGAATCGCCCGTGCTGCTGTGCACCTCGTTGCTGGTTTGAAGGTTGCAAAACGTAGCTAGAAAATCAGCGCACAGCCGATCCGCACTTCCAGTTGCGTGGGGATAAAGAACAAAGACAAGCACCGCGCAGACTATTACAAAACCCATTTTTGTCGGCGACACGAAGCTGCAAACGGAGCGTTGCGCTCTGTCTCGGTCTCTCTCCCAAGCACCCCCGTCCACCGTTTGCCAGCATTACCGACCTGCCTGGATTTGCTCTTGGTCTTGAGGTTTCATCAGCTTCCAGCCTTCCGTGTGACGGACTGCATAAAAAGACTGAACCAGAAACATCCAGAGCTTGTCAAAGAGGGTCGAGATCTCACTCACAAAACCCTGTGCAAAAGAACGAATCAGGAGCTGGTAAAGCACATCACCATAGTAACAAATCATATTGCATTCGGAACCTGCTCACTCACTTGCTGCCCCTAGCGAGTCGGGGATTGTCACTTCTCTGCCTGGGCTATCGCTTGGTGAGCTCGGATATTTTAAATAAACGCTAGTCTGACCAATTGAGAGGCACTGGCCCTTTCAGCGAAAGGGACGGCGTCTCTTAGTCAACTAACCATCAACACACAGCTATTCCCTGGTGACACAAGCTCAACACCTTTGGAAACATATGCAGCGCTCGATTTAGGTCACTAACAGAAGTACCTGCATGAGAGCCACTGCTTTAGCTAATTAATCTTGCCGCTCTTTTGGGGAGATGTTGGACAAGAAACGGAACTAGAAAGATGATGTGTGCGCGCGCGCGCGTGTGTATGTCACACAGATGCAAACATAAAAATTGAATAGGCAAATACGTTTTGGTAAGTGTGTGTTTATGGCTGATGCTTGCCATACATGAAGATAAACAATTCAAAACCCTCTTCTACAGACTCAAGGGTAGATGTTTAGATGATTAAATACTTACCACCTCTTTGTAAGCCACCTGGCTCCTCAACAGGTCCACTGCTATAAATTGCAAGCAACCGTCTGTTACTGTAATGTTTTGTTCAATAGCTGCAAAAATCCTTTCCACCAGATATGGTCTTCTGCTCATTCTCTGTGCCTGGAAAATAGAATTATTTAATAGCTGGCGTTTTCAAAACAAACTGTAAGGCCACTTAATTTCTTCCCATAATCATGGGAAAAAAAGTTTAATTTATTTACAAAAATGCATCAAATAGCATAAGAAATTAACTTTTATACTCCAAATATGCAGCCTATTTATCACTTGAAGATTAGTGAGCACATTTACCAGGCGTGCTCTCATTTATTCCATTTCCAGTGCACTTAGCCCCAAAGGGTTCTTGAAACTAAGGTAACCTGTTTTCCAAGACAGCTGCTTTTGTCGCCTGGTGTGTATGACAGATATAATGGATTGTGCCAATGCAACAGATGCATCTTAAAATAGATCAGCAACTTCATACTGTTATCATTTAGTACAAATATCCATCATCCAGACCAAGCTTTTCCACATGAGGTTAAAGTAGGTCCAGACCTCTTGCATTATATATATATATACATATGCAAGCAGAAAGGACTGCATTAAATTTAGCTCTAATTATTAAAAGCACTCCCACAGTAATGGAATTAGAGGTCAATAATAAATCAAAGGCAGTTGTAGTACAAATACGCAAGCTTTTGAGCCTTGACATGTGAAACTTTAAGTAGGATTTATTTTTAGTAACCGTTGCCTGTACTTCTGGGGGAAGAAAAACCTTGAATGCTTGCGAAAGAGTCAGAAGATGCTTCCATTATTTTTCTTCCTTTTCCATCCTTCCTGTACCTTGTATGACCAATAGGTAAAGAGCTGACTTGCTCCCAAATCTACTATCAACACCCTCTCACACAGCAATAGCACGTGAGGGAATAGCTAGACACTTGTGCACTTCCAAGCATTTCCCTAGAAAATGGTGTTTCTCCAAGATGCCAAGGCAAAGATTGACAACTCCTTTCAGGAGGGATCTTGGCAGCAAAAGTACATCCTTCCACGTTATGCTACAAAGGCAGCAGACATATGAGAACACCACCACCTTCAAGTTCCCCTCCAAATTGACTTGGAAAAATATCACTGTTCCTTCACTGTCGCTGGATCAAAATCCTGGAATTCCCTCCCTAGTGGCATTGTGGGTCAACCCAAAGCAGGTAGACTGCAGCAGTTCAAGAAGGCAGCTCACCATCATCTTCTCAAGAGCAACTAGAGATGGGCAAGAAATGCTGGCCAGCCAGCGATGCCCACACCCCATAAATGAATAGAAAAAAAGAACTTCATGTACTCTGCACCATTGATTGTTTTGTTACCATGATTAAGAACATCTTGTTAGTTTCCCTTTTCAGTCTTTAAAATGTAAAGGTGTTCTCTTTGGATTTCTCATTCTTTCCCATTTAACAGAATATACTGGAGTGTGAGCATACTTGTATTTTCATTCTATTCATACCAGTGTGAAATACAAGGTAAAACAGTTGCTGCAGTAAGTTGAGCAGTTTGTCTGCATGAGTCCTGTATCCATCTGTTAGCTGCCAAAACATGCACATACAAACATTTCACACTATGCCAGTGAGAGAGATCAGATCTGGCTGTCAGCAAGGTAGTATGTCTGGTGTCAGATTTTTGAAAGCAGAATCTGAGCTGTAAATCAAGATCAATGCATTTTCCTGTATTTATCACTGTATGTATCACTACTGTGTTCAATATAACACCCATCAATAATAAAATCAGAACAGGGCCATTGCAAAGAATAGATAGCACTCCAAAGCCTGCCTCAGACTGCTGGCAGTAAAGTGAATCACTATGCTAATCAAATTGCTTGCTTAAGAACTACAGCATAAACCTTGTCCATCTCAGACCTGTGTGAACACACCACAGAAGAGGCAACAGTCTGACCACTTTGCCAAGATATCATTACAGACATGTTTCTTATAGCTTCTAACAGAGAAACATAAAACATAGAAAGTAGGAACAGAAATAGGCCATTCGCTCCATGACTTAACACAGTAAAACATTCCAGTACTTCACAGGAGGATACTCAACAAAACCAGACACCAGCCACATAGGCTGGACAAAAGAAATACAAAAATCAATAGCTTGACCATAATAGATTTTAAAAGACAGTTTTAAAGGAGGAGAAAGAGAGCTAAAGAGTTGGAGAAGTTTGCTTTGGAAATCAGTGTCCAGGCCAGCTCTTTGAAAGTTAAAGGCAGAACAACCAACACTTGAACAAACTTAAATAGAAGATGAGCAAGAGACCAGAATTGGATGAGAGCAGCTTTTCTCAGAGCCTCGTAGGGCGTAAGCTATGATGGGAAATGCCAGACAAGGTTGAGAAATTTTCTTTTTTAAAGAAAGATGCTTGACCAGCAGCCAACACAGGTCATTAAGGATAAGGGCAAATGGGACTTGGTGCAAATTAAAATATTGGTGATGAGATATGGGGTGAGAATCTCATCTCCGTTTGCAAAATTGGCAGACTTGACGAACGATCAGGTTCAAGCTCAGAAACCAGGCAGAGGGTTGGAGGTGATGGCTAATGGACTTGGGCAACAACAAGACTGTTGGAACAGATTGCACCATCATACCCTCTGCTAAATAATGCACGTTCCCCCAATTCTTGCATCCCTTCAATATAGCGATCACAGGAGTACATTTGGTTCAAGCATTATTCGGTTACAAAAATATGTAATAAGTCCGTTTCCAATTCTCTCCCACGAAGCAGTTAGCAGTGCTGGAGTTGAGTACAGGAACAAGGATGTCTTGCCACAGTTGTACAGGGCATTGGTGAGGCTACACCTGGAATACTGCATGCAGTATTTTCATTGTCACCATCATGGATGAGTATTATATCCCATATTTACTAACTGAAATAGCCTGGCCTGTGTTTACTAGTCCGTTGACCTTACCAATACGCTGCTGTCTTCCCCCATGTCACAAGTCATTATATTTATGCAAATTTTAAATTTTTTTCTGATTATAATCTCATTCTTAACCTCAGCAAACAACAGTGAACAAAAGAGAAGCAACTTCATTTCAAATCTGACTCTTACCAATGATCAGATCCTTCACAAAGTACTGGTGATACACAACAGATGTGAAAAGTGAATCTTACTTTTAATAGGTGGAGGAGACTTTTACTTCTTACAGTCTCAAGGAAGTGTGGCACAATAAACTTGATGCATTCATCTTGCAGTTCTTTTGTCAAGGCAATTGCTTGCTCTGCCCATTTCACCTCAGGAAGGTTCCACAGTAGACGATCACTCTCCATCAGCACCGAAACCACATTTTCCACATTCTGAAGGTCAAATGCATAATCAGTCATCTGTGTATACTGCTGGCCAATGTGGTCAACACTATTTTAAAAATAAACTACATATTTAACCTTTATTTAATTTGTATTTTATAGATCCATGGCATTCACATTTAATATCTTTAATAATATAATCAAACTCCCAGCATGAATGGATACTAGCATAAGTGATATTGCAACTGAACATTATATTTTCTCATTTAGGCACTGCTTACCTAATAAGGATGGATGATGACAGTATGGACCACAGATTGCAGACATATTAGAGAGGTTAAAAGATCAAGTCCATTCAGTTAGAGATAAGGAACAGAAAAACAGCTGTTCATTGCTAGGTGTTTACTTTCAATCTCCAAATAAAAGAAGATAGAAGAGAAAATGTGTTGGCAAATAACAGAACTTTAATAACCCTAAAAAGGACTAAATAATTTTTTTTTTAAATGGGCAAGAATTCCTAACACATTTCCTTAAATCACATAATTTAGCCCAACAAGGAACAAAGCAGTAGTTCTGGGGAATAAAGCAAGATAACTCATATGTTGCAGTGGGAGAATATCTGGATTTTGGATTATAAATATAATTATATTTAAAATAGTTATGAAAAAGATGACAAAAAAGATAAAATGAAAATATTTCACCAGAATAGAATCTATTTTAGTAATTCACAAATGAATCTGGCATATGTGGACTGCAAAGAAAGAGTGATCAGGAGAAGAGCAAACAAGCAATGCCAAGCCTTTAAGATGGGATTGAAAGCAGGTTCAAACCAAGCACATTCCCATAAAGTTGGGGGGGAAAAATAGGTCACCCAAAGCTAGAGCTCCCTAAATACAGGGAATAATTACAAAAATAAAATTAGAGAAAAAGAGGCTGAATCAAAACCACGCAGATACAGACATGCAGCGAGAATCTGAAAAAGGACCAAGGGCAGAGAGCGTATGAGAAATGTTTGTGCAAAGTATAAAAACAAACCCAGAATCCAGGACAAATATACAAAGGAAGTAGGATTCCTTTGAAAGGATTGGGAGGTTGATCAGAAACAGTAAAAAGGAAAATAAACTGTAGAGGTAGAGAACATGACTGAAGTACTGAGTGAATACTTTGCACGCCTCAAAGTAATTGTCAATGACAATTTTCAACTTAGGTTACTGGTGGTTAACTTATTGGATAGAATAAAAACACCATAGACAGAAGTTAAATCGGCATTACTCAAAACGTAATAAGGTCCTGATGGGATGCATTCTGGCTTACATAAGGGAAACAAAACACCAACCATAATCTTTCAATCCTGTACACACGAGTGTGTGGCGTGATACTGGAAGTTTGCAAATGTTACGTCTTTTTGAAAAGGTGGGGGCTAAATCTTGCAACTCTAGGCATGTCAAACATCAGTGGTGGGAAATCTACTGAAGTGCCTTGTCAAGGACAAAATTAATCATCACTCAAAAAGCATGAGTTAACTAAGAAATACAAGCAGAAATAGGTTAAAATCAAATGGCATCTTATCAGCTCAGTTTTGTTTCGTGAAGCTACAGGAAAGGTTAATAAAGATATTCCAGAAGATGCATATTTGCCTTTTCAAAGGCATTTGACAAAATACCTTTATTTTCTGACATCCAAGTAGGTTATTAAGTTGGGCACAAAAATCAAGAGGTAGAAGGCAAACAGTAGTGATACAACAGAAAAGCGAAGTACACGTAAAAAGCCCAGAGTTTTGTATTAGGACCATTGCTTTAGCCATGATCTTGTAGCTACTGTGTTCAAGTGGTAAGTCCAGTTCAGCTTCTAGTCAATGGTAACCCCCAGGATGTTGATAGTGGGGAAATTCAGTGGTGATAACACTATTGAACATAAAGGGCCAGTAGTTAGATTGTTTCTTATTGTACATGGTCATGCCGGGAATTTGTGTGGTGCGAATGTTACTTGCCACTTGACAGCCCAAGCCTGGATATTATCCAGATCTTGTTGCATTTGAACATGGACTGCCTTAAGATCGGAGGAGTTGCGAATGGTGCTGAACATTGGGCAATCATTGGCGAGCATCCCACTTCTCACTATGTGATGGAGGGAAGGTCATTTACGCAGCACCTGGTCTGTTTTCCTTTGCAGTTCCTCAACTCTACCCACACAGATTCTATGCTTTCCAACTCTATACCACTTCTTGCTATGAATTTAATTTCATTTCTTATAAAGAAGGCAACCCTGTCCCCTCTGCGCATCCTTTTGATAGTACATGTACTCTTGGATATTTAGTTCCCATCCCTGATCCCCTTGTGTGTTACCCACAACATTCACTTGCCAATTTTAATCTGCACAAGCTCATTTACCTTGTTGCATATACTGCATGCGTTTAAGTACAACACCCTCAATCCTGCATTGACTGCCCCACTTCTCATTTGTGATCTTATCTGCCAAGCCGGACCCTTTCCATACTCTGTCCTATTTTTGCTCTTGAAACTTTAATAACCTCTGCCAAGACCTCCTTCCCATCCCTTTAACTTTTTTGATAACTTTCCATGCAACTGAACCCATCCCCCACTTGTTAGTTTAACGTCCTATCCACAGCCGTAGTTATGCAATGTGTCAGGATTCTAGTCCCAGCATGATGCGGTAGGGCCCATCCCATTGGAACAGCTCCCTACTTCCACAGTACTGGTGCCACTGTTCCATGAATTTGAACCAGTTTCTCCCACACCAATCTGAGCCACATGTTTACCTCTTTAATCTTGTTGACCTGTGCCAATTTGCTTGTGGCTCAGGCAGTAATCCAGAGATTACTACCTCCTTGGTTCTGTTTTGTAATTTAGCTCCTAGATGCTCAACCTCTTCCCTTTTTCTACCTATATCACAGGTACCTATGTGGACCACAACAACTGGAACTTTCCCCTCTCATTCCAAGTTCCTCTGCAGCCCAGATGACATAAGTAACCGATATTAGTACAGATGTGGTCACTATGAACCAATGGGATCCGCCACTCCTACATCATGCAGTTACAACACATTGCCTCTCTAATTTAGTTACTTAGTTCTTAATTTGATTAGTTCGAAATTTTACACTCGTCTTTTAGTTTGTAGCCTGTAAATATTTCCCCTATTTACCTTCAATCTGAAAGTAACTTGTAATAGATTAGTCGTGAAGACTAACCAATCTGACAATCTGAATAGTTGCTGCTATCTTTTGCCACAATAGAATTCTTGAATGCCAAAGTCAGTCATCACCCAGATAGAGACAGCAGAGTATGATTATCTCAGTCATTAGACTATTCCCTCTGCTTCAAACATTTTAGGGTTTATCTTTTATTGAGATTCACTACACAAAATCCTCTTAGCCCAATTAAATTTCACTGGTCAATAACTAGGAAAATATATCAATCAATACAACCTCACATTCCATCCATAATCTTTTCCAAAATTTCGAAACAAAGAAAAAGAACAAGTCACAAATTTATTAATAGACCTGTCCCAATATCTATCCCTGCAATTCTACACACAGCATAAATCATTAGAAACATAAAATAGGAGCAGGAATAGGCCAGTCAGCCCTTAGAGCCTGTTCCACCATTCAATATGATAAGAACATAAGAACTAGGAGGAGTAGGCCATCTGGCTCCTCGAGCCTGCCCGGCCATTCAATAAGATCAATGCTGATCTTTGAGACTCAGCTCCACTTACCCGCCCACTCACCATAACCCTTAATTCCTTTACTGTTTAAAAATTTATCTAGCCTTGCCTTAAAAACAGTGAGGTAGCTTCAACCACTTCACTGGGCAGGGAATTCCACAGATTCACAACCCTTTGGGTGAAGAAGTTCCTCCTGACCTCAGTCCTACATCTGCTTCCCTTTAGTTTGGAGGCTATGCCCTCTTGTCCCTAGTTTCACCTGCTAGTGGAAACAACCTCCCTGCCTCCACTTTATCTATTCCCTTCATAATCTTATGTTTCTATAAGATCTCCCCTCATTCTTCTGAATTCCAATGAGTATAATCCCAGTCTACTCAGTCTCTCCTCATAATCCAATCCTCTCAACTCTGGAATCAACCAAGTGAATCTTCTCTGCACCCCCTCCAGTGCTAGCATATCCCTTCTCAAGTAAGGAGACCAAAACTGCACACAGTACTCCAGGTGTGGCCTCACCAGGACCCTATACAGCTACAGCATAGCCTCCCTGTTTTTAAACTCCATCCCTCAAGCAATGGCAGACAAAATTCCATTTGCCTTTTTAATCACCTGCTGCACCTGCAATCCCACCTTCAGCGATTCATGCACAAGGACACCCAAGTCCCTCTGCATAGCAGCATCCTGCAATTTTTTACCATTTAAAACATAATCCATTTTGCTGTTATTCCTACCAAAATGGATGACCTCACACATATCAACATTGTAATCCATCTGCCAGACCTTTGCCCACTCACTTAGACTATCTATATCCCT